GTAACACACATCATTCCAATAAATATATAAATATACAATACTTTATTATCAAAGAAATATGTAAGAAAGAGAAAAAAAAAAAAAATCATGAAATTGAGGGAAGGGAGGGGGGGGGAGGTGGGAGGGGAGGGGAGGGGGGTGGTGGGGGGGGGGGGGGGGGGGGGGGGGGGGGGGGGGGGGGGCTGAAAAACTAGAGTTATCTAGCAAATCTTAGACAGCACCCCCCCCCCGCTCCAAAACAAAAAAAATTAGTTCTAACCCCCCTCTATTATGTTAAAAATAACGTCGCATTCTGGATTCGAATTCCTGAGCTGTATTCTGGATTCCAAGCCCAGGATTTCGATTTGCACAGGACAAATTTGCTGGATTTTACACTGCACAAGCAAGAATTTCACGGATTTTGGAATCCGAATTTCCTTAGTTACGTGAGGCCCATCTGAGAATCCAGCCAAGCGAAACAACCTGTGAGTAGAACTGTACAAAATGCAACGTTTGTAACGGGTACGTACTGTCCATGATGATGACTAACTTTTAACAGGCTATAATAAAAACGTAAGTTTCCTAGTTGCCTTTAATCGAGGATTTAAATACTCGCCTGTCTTCTTACATAGAAACACTGATCAAATTCTCTGGACCTGAAAAAAATAACAAATGAAAGTCAGTCCTTGGTACTTTGCCTGTCAATTGTACTTTTGGCTCGCCCTAATAGTAATAATAATAATAATGATAATAATAATAATAATTAAGAATTTATACTGCACAGTTTTCATGACGAGATGATCAACTGGGCATTAGAACAATACATAGAATAAAAATAACTAAATGATAAATAAGATTTACATCACGTGTTGTGTATAATATCAAAAAGCCTAACTAAGAATAAAAAGCCTTACTAAAAGGTATGTCCTTAAATGTTTTGCTAAAAGAAAATAAACATTACATAGTCGTGTATAGGTATTGAGTAAACCTAACTAAGAATAAAAAGCCTTACTAAAAATATGTTTCTTTTAAATTTTTTTAAAAGTGTTAACAGATTTGGTCATTCTAATTTCCAGAGGTAAAATCGTTCCAAAGTTTAGGCGCCGAAGCAACGAAAGCTCGGTCGCCCAGGCTTATTAAAGTTTTAAAATTCGGGTGCGACAGCAGTATTCCGTCGTTAGATCGCAGTCCATATCTTGAATTTAAACGCTTAATTTTAACAAGATTATTGTTATAAGACGGTGCTAATTCATGAATGGCTTTGAAAGTTAAAAGTAAAATCCTAAAATTAATACGAAATGAGACAGTGGGGTAATATGGCAAAATTTGCCCTGCATAACGACAAGACTGGCGGCTTGCGTTTTGAACTCTCTGCAACTTGTCAATATGGCACTTATTATAGTCTATTACAGTAGTCTATTCGGCTACTAACAAAAGAGTGGATAAGAGTCGCAGCTGCATCCATTGAAAGGTATTTCCTGATGCGTCTCTAATGTTGTGCAAGAGATGAAAAGCAGCACTGCACATTTTGCTCATGTGTTAACGGCCATAGTAAGTTGATCATCGAACCACGCACCGCACAACAGACACTTTGCTGCATCGCAATCTCCTACCCTGATAGTGTTAACAGCAGCCTTTTTAAATAGATGTCGTGAGGCTATTACAATAAATTCGGTTTTGTCGTCATGAAGCATAAGTTTGTCTGAGGTCATCCACTGCTGAACGTCCGAGATACAGGTTTCCATTGATCTAATTACCTCATCTTGACTAAAAGCACAGCTTGGGTTAAACGATAAATAAAGCTTAGAGTCATCTGTATAACAATTAATTTGAGGTAGGTGATGACCTACAATGTCAAAGATTTTGCTTGAATACATCTTAAACAAAAGTGGACCTAGGCAAGATCCCTGGGCAACGCCATAACGAAGATAAAATACATTTGAAAGCGCTCCCTGAACAGATATTCGTTGTGTTCTTACAGATAGATAAGAGCAGCACCAGGAAAGAGCAGTTCCATTCAGACCCAGCTGCTTGGTCATGTTGGTCATGTTTGTCACTTTGACCAAAGCTGTTTCCGTACAATGAAGTTTCCTGTATGCAGACTGGAACACTGGATACTGAAATAATCGGGGATACTGAAATAGCTACACAATGAAAGGAAATTTGATAAAAATTTAACGCTGTCCTGATCATTGATCGTAAGTACTGTTAACTGTAACATTTAACATCTGCTCTTAGTTGCTGAGGTTTGTAAAAGAAAACTAAAAAACGTAAAGATTTATTACAAACCTTCTGGGAATGTTGTTTTCCTCTGTACACTGTTCAATCATTCTTCCTCTTTCGGAAAATTCATAGTACGACAAAATCTGAAGATGAAAAAGCATCTGTGAAACCAACTCGGATGATTGATAATCGGAGGTTGTAAAACATCATTTAAGTTGCTTAAATAAAATTGGTGAATTGCATTGTTGCCTGCTTCGATCTTGATTATTACAAAATTTGGCATGTCGGATGTGCTGCTCAGAGGATTATTCTCCAAGCGAAAAAGTTCATGGTTATCTAATACACTCGTCATGTTGAAACAACGAGTCAACTATTAAAAAGGAGTGAGACTTTTTTCTACTGATCAGGCCTCAAAAAATGTAAAACCAATCAATTAGAGTTTCTTTGCCACAATAAGCAAAGTTGCACCCTCGGATCTGTGCAAAGAATTTAAACTCCAAGGGTGTGACACAAATACTCTAGCGTTTTCTAAGACTAGTGATTCATTCAAATCTCCCCTCTTCCCCTCCCCACCCAGTACTGTTTATTTTCCGTAAGAGTAGGGGGAATGGGCTAATGTCCCTCTAGTTTTTTTTAAGGAAAAATTTAATGTAAGAAGATTTCTTATTATATAATCACCAATGAAATACCAGGTGAGCTTTCCCGCGAAAACATGATACCTTCACACGTGAAAAGATCACTGTTGCTATGGCTGCATAATAAATCGCGCCCTTCACAGCAAAAAGCTATAGAGCGTTTTCACATGACCTCACGGCGGCCATATTTGTGTTCCAAAACAATGAAACGGCGGCCATCGTTAGTGTACCAAGACAATAGACCAATTCCGATATATTAAAATTCATACTTGGCTGCGAGGCTTGGGGGAATAAAGGAAAATAAATCATCTTGAGGCTCAGCAATAAATAATACATTTCTTTTGTTTTATTTCCCCAAGCCTCGGAACCAAGTATGAATTTTAACATATCGAAAATGGTCTGTCCTGTGGGAGTTAATTCTTTTCTTATGCAAACGCTTTCTTTTGTTCCAATAGATTTGCATAGATACTGGCCACGTGACTGAAAACGCTCTATTAAAGTGAAATGGTTTGGTATTTTGACGTGTACAAAGCCAAGATAGCCACTTTAAGTTATAAAATTTTTAACTGAAAAACTCCATCATGCTTAGAACATCTAATCCAGAGGCGAGAGAACAAGTATTGCGTCATCACCATCTTGTGAGTGTTTCGCGTTTCGAAACCTACTGCATGAAGAACACCATCTCATACCTGCCTCGTACCCAGACGTCTCTCTTTCTCGATGAAAATGTGCGCGCAGGGGAAGGCGGGAAGGAGACAACGGGCTTCGCCTGCCGTCTGTGCCCTTCCCATGGTCCCTTGCGGTTCATCACCAGTCGCTCGCCTCTACCTTGCGAAAAACGAAGCACCCGAGGAGGTGGCTGATGTCATACAGAGGATCCATTGCTTGGAATTGTTAGATCCCTCCATGGCTAGCGCAAGAGCCTACGCTAATATGGCCATAAACTCTCAAGCCCTCAACTAATATTCATTTTAAAACATGATCAATTCAAAGCCGTTTAATTAGCATATGATATATTTTAGTTTTTCTTAATAGCACTAGTATTTAAGTAATTTTCACTTTTTAGATATAGATTCTTAATTAAAATTATGTACTTTTTAAATGTTAACCGTGTTTAAATAAAAATTGTTATTGTCGTTTTTGGTTTCCCTGGGGAAACCAGTGGTAGCGTCGCGTAATGTCGGCTGTTTTCTCAGGCAGTCTTTTTCTATTTGACCGTGATGCTGCTTCAGTACAAGTAGATGTTATGAGATAGCGCGCGTGCTTGCCCTATATAAGTCCTATTGAGCCGCTATGAACAAAATCTTTACTTGCGAACGCCCGTGCGTAAATAAAGATTTTTTGCATGATGACGTGTTCACCTGTGTTTTTCGTCTCTTTTCCTAAGTACTACGTACCCAAAAATCGACGCAATGAAAAAACTTCCTAGCATTTTTGGAATTTAGCCTCTAGCCACTCAAACCAACATCAAAAGCCGCGAAGATGTTTCGCAAATAATTAGAACCAGAATCGTTGAAACGTCTTCCGTAAAGACTGACATTCAGCTGGAAAAGGACCACAAATTGGTCTGTGTCGAGAAATATCCAATTTGTATTAAGTGTCCTCCGTTTTTAACGTTTGTTTATCCTTTGCAAAACAATTATAAAGTTAGCTCAATAGCGAAAAATTATGCACTTTTGTTATCGCCGAACAATACTAGCAGGAAAATTACTTTTGCAATAAGACAAATTACACACGACATAAATTTATTACTCACAAAAACAACTGCTGCCAGGTCTTCTCAAGAAGCCGTAGTGACCTGTCATTGTTCGGAAATGAATATAAAGCAGGATGACAGTCGCTAAAAAGACACGTTTTCTGGATTTCGTCGAGCAAAACATAAACATCTTTTCAGCGAATCCAAACCATACTCCACGACTTCTTACGAACATGTGAGCAATTTAACTTTTTTTGGACTTTAAGACTCTTTTACCTTTGTTTCTGCTTAGTTTCCACTGATCGCTAACGAATAAATAAGCAAATTTTCTTTATAACATAGCGCGCGTGCTTGCCCTATATAAGTCCTATTGAGCCGCTATGAACAAAATGATTATTAGATTTTTTTCATGATGATGTGTTCACCTGACTGCTGTATTTTCAAAAGGCAATGAGGGAGTCAGCGCCTTAGTCGTTATATATAAAATTAATTAGGGAATTGGATACTCGCCTGTCCACTCGAAGAAGCCTCGCGATAGTAGAAACACTGACTTGACTCTCTCCTTCTGAAAAAAAAAAGGTTTAAGTCGACTTTGTTGTTTTTCCTGATAGTTGTACTATTGTCACAGCCTACGCGGGACAGGTAAACACAATGAAAAATAATTTATTAATTAGAAAGAGTCTGTGAGCCGATCATTGACCGAACTTATTTAAAATCACAATACGTAAACTTTTCAGTTTCTACTCTTGTACTACAATTTACAGTGAAAACAGTCAAGATTTATTACATACGCTATTGGAAAGATGTTTTCCTCCGTGGATTGTTTAATTGTCCTTCCTCTTTCGGAAATCCCATAGCGAGGAATAATCTGAATATGAAAAAAGAATCAGTCATCAACTTACTGAGTCAAGTCAAGTCGAGTCGAGTCGAGTTTCATTTAAATTCACACAGGATATTGATACAATTCAGTTGTTTTAAATATGAAAATAAAAGATTGTGTTTGAAGGAAACGAAATTTTTGAATTTTAGGTTCATTGTGCAGGGTTTGAGACACCTAAATAGTTCGTATAACTAACCGGGTAGGTGACCCAAAACAAGAATACAGGAAGAAGGAATATAGTGACAAAATAGTTGTTTTAGATAAAAAGTATTACTCCATTAATTAAATAGTAGTTAAAGATAATATAATGATAAAACTTCAGAAATTAATAACACTGTTATAACCATCAATCATGTAATTCTTGATATTTTGACGAAAACTAAAAAACGGCTTGATTTTCTTAATATCAACAGATAATGAATTCCAAAGGTTGGTACCAGTGTAACGGAGAGAAAGAATGCCGTATTGAATGGTATAAACCGATTTAACAAACTGATTATCATTCTGTGATTGACGTGTATAATAGGACTGAATGGAAGATACTGGATTAGTGGATTACCACTGATAAACAAAAGAGAGAATTTCAAGTCGAATTATATCAGAGAATTAGTTAGGAGTATGAGAGACTTAAGCAATGGCTCTGAATGCGATCTAGGGTCGGAAAAATTCATTATTCTGACAACTCGTTTTTGCAAAGTAGTTACTGGTTTTAGTTAGGTTGGGTATGTGAGACCCCAAACTTGAATACCATGAGTTAGAAAGGGGTAAATTAGGGAATAGTAAAGTATAATTAGTATATCAACGTTAATATAGTACCTTAATTTGGAAAATATGCCTACAGTTTTCGATAGTTTTAAGCACAGTTCATGATTCTTCCAGTCAAGTTTGAGTCAAAAGTGACACCTGAGTATTTGACCACGGGAACTTTTCAGTAGATTTTCACACTATCAAGTTTTAAAATTAATGACTTGCATGATTTTAGTTTTTTTGAATGAAAAAGAACAAAATTAGTTTCAAAATACTGAGAGCTAGTCTACTGGATTTCATCCACTCAGCCACTGTATGGAGCTCTTGATTTAAGATTAGTTCAAGATAATTAAGGTCTTTTCTTGAACAATATATATTAGTGTCATCAGCAAATAAGTGGAAACTAAACAATTTCTAGGTGTTGGGTAGAGTAATATATAGCAAAAACAACAGGGGTCCAAGAACGGATCGCTGAAGTACTCCACAAGTGATTGAGAGAGAATCAGATTTATGACCATTGATACATACAAGTAAAGTTCTCTATTGGACAGATACGATTGAAACCAGTCATAGGCTTTACCTCTTACTCCATATTGATTCAATAAAAATACAACAGCCAAACTCATTGCTGTCAGTTGAGTTACGGATTGATTCAGCAATTTGTATCAGTGCATGATTAGTTGAACACTTTTGCCTAAAGCCAAATTGAAGTGGGTAAAGAATGCTATAATATTCAAGATAACCATAAAGGCGCTTAAACATAGCCTTTTCAAAAATTTTTCTAAAAATAGGCAGGACTGATATTGGTCTATAGTTAGCTTTGTCTTGCCTAGAGCCTTTCTTAAAAACTGGGGTAACTTTTGCCAGTTTAAGTTTATTAGGAAAAATGCCGCAGAGAAAAGAATCATTAATTAGGGATGAAAGAAGTGGGGGAAATATGAGCATTAAGAATTATTAGCAATGGGACTGGAATACTATAGGGACCAATGGATTTGGCTATTGTCCATTTCAGATATGTATGAATCAACTTCAATTGAATCAGGAAAATTGCCCTTCAAAAAAAAAGGTTGGACAACAATTCCCATTCGGAATGTCTTTGTTGGTGTTTATACCCACATTAACAAAAAAATCATTAAAGATGTTAGCAATAGCACAGGGATTGTCAACAGTTATTCCACTTTCTAAAATACTGGGAATGAAATTAGCTTTAACTTTACTAATGTTGATGATTGATCTAATTCCAGACCAGATTTTTTTCATATTTTCTTATAACACAAAAAGTAATTGTTAAAATAATCAGATTTGCTCGCTTTAAGATCTTTGACAGCACTATTCCTGAATTCTTGTGAAGATATATTAAATTTGGATTTGTATGTTTATTCCTAATGATTTGGGAATAGAGTTTATATCTATATCGTATTTAGCAAGAATATGTTTGGTAATCCAGGGTTTAGTGGATAACTTAAATTCACGTTTGGAGTGCTTTCTACGTGGTACATGATAATTGGTAAACTTGAGATATCTGAACGTAGAAAGTATCAAATTTACTGTTGGCATCCATATTATCACTTGAGATGTTAGTCCAGTGTAGAAGTGAGAAAAATCATTGATAAATTTCTCTTCATCAAATTTGGAAAAGTCATTTTCATAATAATTTAATATTTGTAGTTTACTATACAATTGTCCACAATATAGAATTGAGGAAGATGATCAGAGATTTTTGAGGCTAGGTTACTACTGATGGCATTCATAGCGTAATAAGTATTTGAAAACATATTATCAATGAGGGTTGCTGATCTTTCAGTAATACGTGTCGGTTGTGAAATACAAGGAAGAAGAAAGTACGAGTTAAGCATTAATAAGAAGTCAATAGATTCAGGATGACTTTCAGAATTTAACAGGTTAACATTTAAATCCCTCATAATGAAGATGGTTTTATTTTCTCTAGTTAGTAAAGATAAAGTTGACTCGAGCTGTTCTTTGAACCTTACAGGGTTGAAAGAAGGGTGTCTATAGGCACAGCAACACAAAATATATTTAGGTTTAGTATCAACTATTTCAACCCAGACAGTTTCAAATTCATCAGTTGTATTTACGTCAGTTCGCTTAAAAGCAGTTGAAGTATTTGTGGTGTAAATTACCACACCACTAGCATGCAGCAGATCTGGAGGGTTGTGAATGTAATATGTCACCATCCAAGTTATTATTCATTTTGAAACCTAAAGAAAAGTTTTCTCCAGTCTCACTAATGCCTAAAACATGAAAAGGAAATTCATCATTCAAGTTGGTCTGCAGATGACCTAGATAGGCATGAAGACTATTTAAGTTAACGTGAAATAAGGAGAAATAAGATGGCAAAGATGATACATATAAAGCTAATTTGTCAAAAATCTGATGGATAAGAATATTTAGAATTTAGGGGATTAGGTATGTTTGACTCAATATCAGAGATGTTAAGACCGCCCAGGCTGGTAATCTTAGAAATAAAATTAAGGGAAGGTAGCATTTCAATGTCAGAGGGTTTCATAAGAGTGTTAAATTCAATGTCATTTAAAGAACTAAAGCAAAATATATCAAAAGTACATATTGTTCAGGAAAAATACCTCTTTCTCAAGTTTCAAGTGTTTGCAATCCTTAATGGTTAGACCATTACACTTGCAATGGATCCGTAAATGGCAGTTCCCACATTGGACTGCATGATCATAACTTGCTATTAGCTTTTGGCATATGCTTCAAGTAAATGTTTGATTATGTGATACGCTGTTCATTTGTTATCAGATAAAGTGAATAAATCTATATGTGTTCATACATTTCAGCCATTAGTTGAACCATTCGGTCTGTCTCTGATTATGCCGAGTCTCACGAGGGAGAAGTAAGCAAGTTTACCTTGTTTGAGCTGAGGCAGTTGTGCCTTTCTTTTCTCCGTTGTCTCCTCAGCTAGGTCTTCAAAAATGTTTAGAACTTCGGGTTTGATTCTCCTTGCCTTCTTGAGAATTGCCTCCTTTGCTTTATAACTTGTAAATTCACAAACGACCGTTCTCGGTTTTGGAGTGCCATCTTGCCTCCCAGTACGGCCTGTGCGATGAGCACGTTCAATTTCTGGAGCAGATTCAAAATCGAGTTTTTCGACGAGGAAATTCTTAACTTTCGCTTCCATTTCATCCCATGTTTCATTGTCATCTTTCAGTAATCCTTCAAAGCGCAGATTGTTTCGTCTGCTTTGACTGTATATTAAGCAGATGGTCTTCTCGATATGTTTCTTCATCGTTGCCTAGATTTTAGAAACGTTATCTTCGATTGACGTGATCTTTTTAGCGTGTGGGTCGGATAAGTCCTTTTGACTAAATTCCAGTGAAACTAGCCATCAATTGAGCGACATCCTAGACTACGCTATCAATACGCAGATTTATACTCACTGCAGGTAATTATACTATGGACAGTAGAATCCGCTGGATCACGAATTCTTCGGTTTCTGAAGCGGACTACTGGCTTTCTTTTGTTTTTTTTTTGTTCGTTTGTCAGGCATCTTGTTAATGAGAACGAAGTAACACTATTTAAAACTTGGTAAATTAGACGAAAACAACGAGACTAGATCAGCGAGAGCAGGAGCGGTTTAAAAAAAAAACAACCGCAATTTTTGCAGTATGAGCTCTCCTGATTTAAGCTTATATCGAACACTAAGGTTTAAGTTTTTCATAGAAATATAAGAAAACTTGATAAGCTCACTAGAAGGTACAAACTCGCCTCATTTCCCAGGCGGTTCAAGACTCCATCATTTCTGAAAAGGTGAACAAGCGCATCTTGCTGTTGGTGTGCATCCATTTTGCCGAGCTGATTCTGATGAACTGAAATCTGATTGTAGTATATTTTATATGTTATATAGATGAGTCAGCTGAGCTACATATCAAGACTGCATTCAATAATTGGCATGGGAAATAGTTCTTAACACACAGCACAGAGAACAGTAACTAGATAAAACGGAGCCGTTCTTTAAAATATGTTCCGAATAGATTTTAACCACTTACATGCTAGCAGCGAGACTACATGTCATCTTTTCGAATATATAGTTATAAAAAAAGAACCGAGCTTGTATATTCTGCATCACGTTTTGTTGGTAGTCCATAAATTCAAAGATTCTACCAAGAAAATATCGGTTGCTTTGTATAAACTAGCAGATAGTAAGAACACAAATGTTCTCTTCGCCCTTTAAAACAGGCGGCTGTTTCTTTTGCAAAATATCAAAATCGGAGTATTCAAGAATAAAGCAACTTGTTAAACGGCAGCACTAGTTATTTTACAACCTTATGATTTAGTTCTTAATGACCAAAATTCACAACGAAAAGTCACGATCAGAATACTTTACCTTCAAGCTGCTTTCCAATGGCGATAGAAAAGAAAAACGCCTATGGGTACAAGAGACGAAGGTTGCATGCATGCGCGTACAAGAGGGTAAACAAATTTATTAAATTAACATCTATAAAGGTTAGAGAATCGTATAATTTATTCCGTCCCAACAATTCTTTGAAAACAATTGGGTACGATATCTTGAACGTCGTTACCGGACCTGCCTACAAGATTTGTAAAATGTTGTGACATAGTAAAACGACGCAATCAAAATCCTTCCTCCTTGAAACTTGAAAAACTTTACATAACCTTGCCTGACCACGGCTACCATTACTACGGTGCGGTTTCTCACAATAGTCTGATCATGTCTCTGCAACTTTGTAACGATTCACGATAGCTAAGGGCGGTACGGCAACCCGCGAAATCTTGCTTCCATTTAGAGACTTTGGCTCCCTGAGCATTTAATTCTGAAAATGAAAATGGCTCGGTAGATGTACATAATTGTTGCCTTAGACACAAACTTCCAGCATGAATGTTGGGAACCAAGTCAATCTTAAACCAAGTCAGTCTTCAATTCCTATGAAGAGGCCTTTGTCGACTTTCGACAGTTTTTGACTGAATTATGGTACGCAGAGGGAAAAAAAAATACTATAAAACGTGATGACATAAACTGACAAGTAGAAAGTTCCTTTTTTAACCACCTTCGTATCCACAGGTGAAACCTCAATACTAGTTCAGTTTTATCCCGAGTTTTAATTATTGATATGTGCCAATCACTCGCGTATATATCAGAAGCTTCCAATTGATTGGTTGATAAGTAAAACTCTTTGTTATAGCGTTTCCATAACTAGGAGACTATTTATCATAATTACCATTATCATTGACAAAGCCATGAAATACTAATAAAACCCACCTTAATCAAGTTTCATTTTGAATTTGCCCATTTTTACCGTCAAAACTGGCAATCGTGGATGCCTCTCCTGGTCTCTTGCAATTGAGCACAGTGGATTAGTTGAGAATGAAAATTCCACTGTCTATATTCAAACTGGAATATACATCATTTGAGAACATTTGAAAACGGAAGGAATAACGAAAGGCCTGAAAAAGTGTGTCATCAACACATCTCAGTCACTGGAGAAAATCCGAAAAATTGCTAGGAAACGATATGTTTCTCTTGCACCTGCGTTATCAGAGACACTTTCTCTCCTACCTATCTCATACGCCTGTATACCGCTAATTAGTTCTCAACTCGTTTATATAAATATATCCGGTCGCAGTCGCGATACGTAATAATTTCAATATGTTTTCGTCTTGTACTTAGTTATTCAACGAATTAGGGAAGTCTTCACCTATACTATAAGGTTTGAAATTGTTTTACGAACTTTTTAAATTTTATAATTGTCCTTTGTCTTTGCATAAATTGTGGAAAACAAAACATACAAGCAGGTGTCCCTTCAGGTTAAAACAAAATTATCGAGGAACTGTTTCACAAGCCCAGGCCACTCTAAATCGAACTCGTTATATTTCGTAGGCCTATGGCACAGATTCAGTCCGTTTATGCCCCATTTTAGGTAGGCATATTAAGTTAGATGTTAATGAGACCAGTGTGTATCTTATTCATCAATAGATTCCTTCTTGATAGACTCCAAATTCAGGGTTAAAACAACATTGTTGAACTCGTAGCACTTTGTGACTTAATGAAATCAAGTTGACGAATTGTTTTGTAAACGCGTGGTATAAACTACGTTAAAAACAACAGCATGTCTATTTCCAGGA